TCCCAAAGTCTCAAAGACCTCGCAAACCGAAAGACTCGCCCCTGAAACCCCAGCCCCAGACCTCTCTGAACCCGAACACCCCTTCAGTTCTGATAACATCCCCTAAGCTCGAGGTCACATGCTCGAATCGCCTGCACCCTATACCCTGAAACCGCACAGGACCCTGATATGACCTTTATCGAATCCTTAAACCAACGCGCCAAGGAACCCCAACAGCCTAAAGCCCGCAACTCTTCTAGAAACCCCTGTATGACCCCTTAAAGCCAACCCTAAAATGAACCCCACAGTGTCAAAAACGCCCCAAACCTACAGTATCTAATGCATAATCTGTTTATATATATATATACATATATATATATATATAGAAATATAATATATATATATATATATACACATGGCATGCGCGTTTCAGATAGTATAACTCAGTATAACATATGGAAGTAGTCTTACATCATATGAATCCAGTGTCCTGCATGATTCCCTTGAGCTGGTCCACCTTCTCCCGCACCTGAGCAGTGGCCACTTCCCGCTCTCTGCGAGTTTCCGGCCTCCTTTGTGCTGATCACCAGGGTTCTGCAAGGCATCGTTCAGGATTTTGCGGCTTTTTGGCACAGCCCAGGCTTCCATTGAGTGTAGGCTTCCATTGAGTGTTATCAGCTGCTTTTATTTATGGTTCCGCTTTTTTTGTTTTTGGCGTCTTGGGGCTGGAGGTCAGGGGGCTGGAGCCATCCTCGGGCTGCAAGGGTTTGAGGCTTCCTGGGTTGTGATTGCTCAGGCAAACTTCTCAGCAACCTGCACGTGATCGCACTTTGAGGTAGCGGTCATGATCCTAATACTACTTCCATAGGAGTATGAGCACGAGGAACATTCGTAGCAATACTGTTGGTCATGCTTTAGCGCCGTCCGAAATTGAATCTTCTGTGAGCGAGTTACCTAGCCCTAGAGGGCCGTCTTTCAGCACATAGGGTTCAGGATCTAGTGTTTAGGGACTAGCACACAAGGAGGTACTGCCGCGTGTCTCACAGGCCTGCTCGCTTAGGATCGAAGTGCAGCTTCTGTTCGAATAATTTCAGCAGCAGTGATGGCCGTGATAGCAGTAGCTGTCGTCATTGGTGGTGGTGGTGGTGGTGGTGGTGGTGGTAGCAGCAGTAGTAGTAGGTGGAATAGGAATAGTAGGCAAGGGAGTAGCAGCAGCCTGCTTCATCGAGACCCAAACATAGAGCGACAACAAAGACAGTTATAGCCATGCGTCTGTCGGGCCTAGGATGTCGGGCATGAGGTGGGTTAGGCTGTGGATCATCACGGTTCATGGGGCCCCAGAAGTTTGGAGATGAGGTCTTAGGGGTTTAAGGCCAGGATTTTCAGCCTAAGATCCTTACAACCACGGTTCACCCAGGAGCAATGTCCATGTAAAGGCCCCGGTGTCTCAAAGGTTCGGGTTTGGGGAACCGCAACCCTAAACCCTAAACCCTAAACCCTAAACCCTAAACCCTAAACCAACCCAAACCCCAGCACTCAATGCACCGAGCCGGCCTCGGTGGTTTTATCGTTTCCTCCAGCATCGTTCCTGTGACGAAACTCTTCAACAACCCTGAAGGGTTCTGGAGTAAACTACGGATGCACCGGGGATTCTCCGCTATTTTACTTGAAGCCTAAGCTTGAATGGTCGTGAACATGAACAATAAGACGAACTTTAAGCGCAGTTTCTGAATTGCTCAACTTACTTCCCCAATAAGCCAAAGAAATACAAGGGTAAACTTTCAGATTGGTAGTAATTTAGAAGAACCCAAAAGGTTTAAAGGTGGGGTATTCGAGAACTAAGTTAAACCGTTCACCCCAAAGCCGTCACACCCAAAACCCATGCATGCGCCGTCCGGTAAGGGTAAAGGGTACATGTCTGAGGTGCAGGATTTACCTAGAGTATCCACCCAAATCCTATCTCCAGCCCTATTGAAGCGCAGGAACGTAAACCCTAAACCCTATGACCCTAAACGCTAAAACCTAAGTCTAGCTCAGCTCGGCCGGGACTTCAAAAGGGAATGCCTGCAGAAGATCCTCGGCTCAGTTGGCTCATCGAAATTGGGTATTTGTCAAAATTAGGGTCCCTTTTGGGGTACCCTAAATAATAGGTGCCGTATTATAATAAGGACCCAAAAAGGGACCATAATTTTGACAACCACCCAAATAATGGTAGAAAGAAACATCTTCGCTGCATCTGTTGCTCAGTCTGTTTATATAAGAGTACTCTGAGACACTCCGGGGCTATGTGCTGTAACCCCGCGGAAGAACCGAGCATATTCGGATCCTGAAGTAATCATCGAGAAGGAGTCAGAGCGAAAATGTTCCCAAAGCTATGGAGACTCTACAACCAATGAACCTTGAGACCTACACAGTCCAGTAAGCCCAACACGTTAATCCTCAAATAAATCCCAAAGCCTCCTCTCCATACTCTCATGGAGTTCATGGGTTTAAAGATTTCCCACTGTCTTTTTTCTCTCATTTGAATTTTTTCAAACGATTTGATCTTGTAGCTTCTTCTCAACATCTAGACCCTAGACCCTGAAAAGACCCAGGCGTCCTTCGATTGTCTGCCATGACTGGGGCAGCTCCAACAGGGCGTCAGGCACCGCCTCTGAAGCTTCGAGGTTAGGGCCGTTTAGGGTTTGGGCTTGAGGGCGCTCTTACTACGTCTTACTAGCCCTACGTCTGAAATCACAAGCGTCCACCGACCGGCTCTCAAGCGCATTCCCGGCCTCTTGGAGCGCACCCCTGGTGATTTCTGAGCTGAGACGGCTACAGCTCTGGGCAAAAAAAACCTTCAGAGGAAAGCCGCAGCCCGGCTGCAACTTCGCCATCACCACGACCCACAAGCACCCTAACAGCAAACCGGGCAGAATTTGGCAAAGTGTTTCAAGCTCTTCGGCTGAGCACTCTGAAACTTCAAATACTACAAAGTTGGAGGTCTGGGCTCAGGGTCTAGAAAAGCCTTACAGTTGTGAGCCGGGTGCCGTTGACAGTGTCGGGATTGGTGACCTTGACGGCCCAAGTCCTGCTTAAGCTCTACATTCGAAAGTCGGCGGTTTAACGAAAGCATGGAAGGTACTCAACACCAAAGCCCTGTACCCTTCATCCCAAATCCCGTCGGTTGAAGCGTTGAGACGACATGGCCACACGCCTCCGCCACTTAAGCATCTCCTTGCTTTTCAAGGCCCTGTCGGCCTGGCTGTGACGCCTCTGAAAATAGCTCAGTAGAGTATACTATAGTATAGTATAGTTTAGTATAGTTTAGTATAGTATAGTATAGTCTAGTTTAGTGGTTCAGTGGTGACCAGGGCCTTTCTCTCATTTGGCACGGGCCTATACCGGCACCGAAAGCAATGATTGCCGGGGGGGGGAGGGGTTGGATATCTGGTATAGCATAGTATAGTATAGTAGAGTTTTGTATAGTATAATACAGCTTCAATAATAAGGAATCCGAAGGAGTTACACTTCACAGCTTTGGACCGTTTTCCGTGTCGCTTCGCAGATTGGCGCTCCTGGGGGGCGGTCTTGCCCGGTCCGGTGGAGCGTGTGACAAATCCAGCAAACCTCCCTAATGATGGAAGTTATCCTACAAGCCTCTATGAGTCGCTGAACCGTTAAAACCGTTATCCAGCGAGGCGTTCCTAGGAAATTTCGAGTTTTTGAAAAAGAGGGATATTGGCAATGTCGACTATTGTGATCACATGTTGCAGTATCTTGGCAGTCCTGTTCTGGTTGTGGGTTGTATTGCAGACTGATGAGAAGCGTGTTATTTAGACATTTCATGCATTCTGTTTGGTTTCTGCTGTCCTTGATGTGATCTTGTCGTGTCTAAGAAGGGTGATACCGCTGTAGGAAAAGCAGTGGTCATCGTAGCCGTGGTCGTAGTCGTAGTGCCAGTCGCAGTTTTAGTAGTTGCGGCGGTAGTTGTAGCAGTTCTGGTAGGAGTAGTATTTGTTATGGTGGTCGTGTTGGTGGTGTTGGTGGTGGTAATAGTAGCAGCAGTCCTCGTCGATGTCGTCGTCGTCATCATCATCACGGTCGTCGTAGTAGTGCTCGTCAGTACTCATCTTATTAATGTAGCGGCATTGCTACTTTTCGCACTCGAGACCCCGATTCTGGAAAAAACTTGTATCAGATGCCCGAAGCCCGCATAACATCAGAGACGGTCTGGAATTTCTCGCTTCGCGGAAGAGGCTATAATCCTGAACCCGCACCCAGACTCTTCGGAGGTTTGCAGGCGCTCACGTGATGAAATGCCCGAAAGTATCGGGGGGGGGAGGCTGTTCGGCATAAGTGGCTAGTCATGATCAAGACGAGCATGGAGCACATCTAGAAAGGAAGTGTAAATAATAGAGGGGTTGGTTTTGATTTGGACTTCAGGTTCGAGGATAGTGTACGTGGGACAGGGACCCCAGCAACCCCTACAACGGGGGGCATTTCCTGGACTAGAGCCGCCCACTTCGCGCTGCAACGCGGCTCCAAGAAGCAAGAAAGCTGTGTGCCTGCCTAAGGCTTACGGCAAAACCCTTCCTCCTCTTTCGTAGAACCAAACCCTCAATATCCGGGCCAGAACAGAAGCTTCCGGGAATAAATGCATACCTACATGCATCCATCCATCCATCCATCCATACATGAATACCTACGTACATACATACGTACATACACACATACATACATGCATGCATACATACATACATACCTACGTACATGCATGCATACATACATACCTACGTACATGCATACCTACGTACATAGATACATACATAAATACATACATACATGCATGCATACATACATACATACATACAAAAACTGCATGCCCGTGCATTGCCGCAGGTGCATGTGCACCGGTAGCTTGCCACGGCATAGAAGCAGAAACCAACACTACTGGAGTATGAATTACGAGTGCCCAGATTGTAAACGATCTTATCACCCTAGAACACGTTAGAACTTTGGCACGCAGGAGCCATGTTGCCCTAGGGGGCTTGCGGCTGCGGGCTCATCGGGTTTCGCAGCCAGGCCGGAAATGGACCATTCGGGTTCTCCTGGAGGGCTTGAGTTGCAGGGGGTGTCTGGCTCTGCCTGCGCCAACTTGAAGATGAGAGACTTGGAAAACGCTTTGTCGGAGGTTGAAGGTTGAGTGACGCAGCAACGATCTAGAGGAATTCCGTCATATCCAGTCTAGTAGCTCACAAGTAGCGGCTCTGTGATTCACTGTAGCTTGTATTGTAGTGATCGTGATGACGATGTTGACGATGATGATGCAGGTCAGAAGTGGTTGCTGCCACAACCAGATTGTGTGGATGTGTGGTGCTTGTGCTATTTGCACACTATTTAGAGCTTGGGGTTTCAGGGATCGGGTAACGAAATAGACTACTGATTACTCCAAACCGCCAAGCCTGAATCCAAAACGCTAACTCATAAGAAACCCTCAGGAATGATATCCGGGCCCCTATATCACATTAACACACCCCCTAAACCCCTATAGAACCCTTGTTGCGAAAACCCTACAAGCCCGCGGTTGCTTCATCTGCCCTAAACCCTAAAGCTTGAACCCGAAAGGCCCAACTCCCGAAGTCTAAAACCCACAACCGGGCCTTGTATAGAAACCTTGTAGAACCCTTACCGAAGCCCCTGTTCCAACGATTCAGGCCCAACTAACAGCCCTAGACCCCGGCTATGGCAACAAGGCCTACGCATAGAACCCGTATGGAATACACTACCAACCTCCGACCCTTTATAGAACCGTTATCGAATTTGATAAGACCCTAAGAGCCCAGGGGTCCTCCATCTTCCGTTCCTTACCATAGAAATCCTCAAAGGAGCCCTATTCTAGCCGTGAAGGGCCCTTGTAAAAGCCTAACCCCGACCCCCGGGGGGTCCTTCATCTGCCTTTCCTGCTCCATCGCTTCGATGGCCTGCTCCCGAGGGGTCTTCGACAGGGACCTCAGTGAAGATTCTTGGTGTGAAGGTCTTTTAGGGTTTAGGGTTTGAGGGTTTACTGGGCCCTATGATGGAGTCTAGTTAAAGTTACCATGAGAAGGATCTATAGCAACTGGCACGACGGTCCAACGGGGTTTTCTCTGGTCTTGGGCGTTGTGGGGTTTTGGTAATTTTAGGTTTTGGACGTTTGAGGTTGTGGGGTTTCGGGGGTTGGGGTCTGTTGTAATGAGCCTTTCATGGAACTTGAGCCAGGAGGTGGTTTTCGATTTATTCGGGGGTGCCGGGTTTCAGACGTGGACCAGGTTACGGGTTCAGAGCCTTCAGGCTTGCATCTCTACTTGCCCCTGGGACAGCTGAACTACTGCCAGAGACAAGGCGCATTTCCGGATTAAGTTAAGGGCGTGAGCCCTAAATCCCCAATTCTAAACGATTAGGAATGTAAGGCTCCGCGGCTTTGTCACGGTTCAAAGCCAAGCAGAAAACCTGGGGTTTTGTGGTGCAGAGCCTGAAGGCTTCTGGGTTAAGTCTTTGTGAGTTTATGCCTTCTCGGGCTTCAGCAATTAGGGTCCTAAGCAGCCTAAGAGGAAATTCCAGCGCAAGAAGCGGCATGTCAAAATAATTTGGTGGCTTGCTTCTCCTGGAGCTTGGCCGTGCAGGGCAGGGGGGGATGGTAAGCTTCGAAGGGTTCTTGGGTCAGATCTATCCTGCAAACACCCTCCACCAACTACGGATGGACTGATTTGTCCTGGACGTAATTAGGGCGCCAGAACTCTAAGGCACAGTGTTGCTTATTCTTTCAGGCTTTCGTAATAAACGGCTACGGCCGCGGCCGCATCAAGAGAGCTGCAACGCCTTCGATGATTGCAAGAAGCACGCCACCTGGCTCGTGACATTTTGTGAAATGGGGCCTGTAGTGTCCTATGAAGCACTGCAAGCCCAGCCCCAGCAGTGCTTTTCAAAGCACTGTTTTCTTCACAAAACCGGGCACCAAGATATCTGACATTCCCGCCCCAAACTCTTCGCCCGAAGCCCTCAAAAGCTCGAGGCCCGAACTCCCTCTGAATTCTAAACCCGAAGGAACAGCCGGCTGAAGGAAACCGTGCCCGGAGACTCTTCGCCTCCATACGGTGATGAAGCCCATAAGGACAAGCATTCCATCGAATAGGGCTTCCGGGTGCATTATAGTATCGAGGAAACCCAACGAATGTTCTCGCTGCTTTTTATCATCCCTATGTCACGCCCGGCCCCCGACCCTAAAGCTCGAACCGCTAGCCCGCTGCGACTCAGAATGTTGTTCAGCCTCATCAGCATCACCACTGGCAACATCCCCAACTTCATCCTCCTCTGAATCATCATTGCACGAGTGTCACTAATATCAGCAGCAGCAGCAGCAGCTTTCGCAATGACGGAGACTGAGCCGGGTCGACCGATCACGGCGTTGCGACTAGCAGCCTTCCAGCCGCCTCGTGCAGCAAGCACCTGGGAAGGAGAAGCTGTACAGGTGTTTGCTTTTTTCGCTTAGGGTTTACTATATAGTACCCTGGGTATACCATGACATGGGCCCCTGAGGGCATGCAGTCTGACGCCTGGGTCTTGAAGCCTTTCCGTCAAGAAGAGGATGAAGGGTAGTAAAGTGCTGGACAGAAAAGCAAACCATATTCTAAATTTCAGGGTTGCTGTACTAAAGCCTTATAGTAACCCTTACAGTAACTCGTATGGAACCCCTCAGGTTTAGCATTCATGGCTTGAGGCCTGGGCAAGGCTGTTAAGGGCGTTGTTCTACGGCGCAGGCGCAGGAGCTCAGCCATCGCAATATCGGCAACAATGATCTTTCTCGCTGTGGGAATAACTGTAGCAACAGCAATAGCAGGACTCACGTCAACTAGCATGAACATAGAACAGGCCGGGTAAAGTGACGTTGCAATTCGCAGGCCGGCCTAATTTAACCCTCCCACTTTGGCCCGAGACCAGATACGAGGACTTCCTTCGGACTTTTAGGTGGGGCCTTTCGGTTCAAGATCTGTGGGGGCTTCTTGGATATTTCAGCGTTTCAGGCTTAGGGCCTTGCCGGGCTTAGGCAGCGTTTATTGCCAGTTTTTGAGGGCTCTGGGGCTTATGAACCCCTGTTTGGCCAGAAATCTCTCTCAACCCCTGAAGCCCGAAACCCTATGAACCCTAAAGCACCCACAAAAACGCCAAACAAAAAGATACCTGCACAGCTTTAACAACTCCCTAACCCTGAACCCATGAAGCCTAAACCCTAGGAATCTGAGAGCCCTCGGAAGACTCGGTGCATGGCCCCGCCGGTCAAGAACCCCGATGCAATGGCGTTCCAATGGTCATCCTGCCTTCGGGGGTTTTCTGCAGCGGAGCTTAGGGTTTGTAGGATTTAGGGTTTAGGGTTTAGGGCTTATAGAGTTTAGGGGTTTAGGGTTTACGGGGTTCAGGGTTTAGCCTTTCCGGCTTTGTGGGTTTTGGGCGTAGGTTTAGGCTGGGGGGATTGAACACTTCAGCCTAGCAGTCTAGACTGGGCCCTAAACCTCCAAGACCCGAAGTTTAAGCCCCAGGCAGGTAGCCTGCACCAGGTAATATAGGGCCCTCAAAATTCGAATGGGGGGTTTAGGGTTTAGGGTATACGATTCTAGAATCTACACAGAAAGATAAGCAGGAAGAGCCTTGGTAACGAGTGACCCCGACCTCTACAGGATCCTAGACTTCGGGCCAAAGCCCTGAACCCTAATACTAAAAGCCCTACATCCTAAATCTTTAAAACCTAACCCACAAACCCTAAACCCCTGAACCTAACCCTAAACCTAACCCATACACCCTAACCCCTAAACCCTTAAACTTAACCCCTAAACCCCTAACCCCTAAACCCTAACCCACCAAGTCTCGAGCCCTCGCAGCTGGTCCGTTTGAACACGGAAGCGGGTCGAACTCGAAAAAAAGAGATCCCGAAAAGCCCATATATATGGCTCAAGACTTCTGCCAGAAATACTTAGCATAAGATAGGGGCCTCAATAATTACCTATACCATTTTGAGGGTTCCTTACTATAACAATAGTATAATTAACCCCAAAACCCTGTTCTAATTATTAAGGCCCCTATATTAGGGTTCCTTTAAAGGTGCCTTGAAGGGGTCTTAAGGAGCGCCAAATCGATAAGGCAACAGTCAGGCTTTTCGTCAGAGTACTGTGGAGCCTTTACTTAAGGGCTGGAATGGCCTTATTCGGATACTTATCATTTAGTCCTGTACAGGGGAGCGGGTTTATTTCGCGGGACTCCACATTACCGGCGGTAGTTTCTGAGGTAACCCAAGCCCAGCTGGGGCCCAAATGTCAAAGCAACGACCACCGGCCTGCGAACGTACTGGAGGGAGCAATCGAATGAAGAAAAGGTTCCACCCTCGGAGGCATCAGCGCTCAGAGCTTCCAGTGGCTTAAACCCGAAACGCTTAAACGCTAAACCCGTGCAGGTAGGGTTTCAGTGGCTTTGGGACTCAGCGTTTATCGAGGGCCTGGCCGCGGCCCATGTCCTCAAAACGCTGAGCGTAGCGTCCCCGGCGAATCCAAACATCATCAGGCCCGATACTGGGCAACCTCTATATATCCGAACCCCAATGTCCGAACCCTCCTGAAAACTGACATCAGAATGGAAGCATGCTTCACCCAACTCCTACCAATCCCGCACTTCATCACCTCAAAGGAACCCTCAAAGGTTGTATAAGGGTGTTATAATAAGGTTCCTGTGGCCACCACGCCCGGGCGTGGAGCTGGGAGTTAGGCTTTGGGCTTAGGCTCGGGGTCCACGCAAAGTCTCGGAAAGACCATGAACAGTTTGCATACTCTATATACATATATATATATATATGTAAGAGAACCCTTTATGTGTCATTTGACCCATAGCCTCGTGTCGTCTCGTATTCCTTATTCCTTATTCCTTACATTGAAAGGTTTTAAAACTTTTGGAGACCTCAGGGGCTTAGTTTTAAAACTTTTAAAAGGCCCAA